TTACAGGATTTTCCCATTCGAAGCAAAAGATTTGCTTGATCTTCAATCTCTTGAAGACGTCTCCTATTTGCCTCTGCTGCATCAATAGGAGTTGGTTCTGGCTGAACTTGGGAAGCTTGAACTTGAGGTTCAACTTCCATCTCTCCAACTCTCTCTCTCTCTACTTTCTCACTCTCTAATGCAAAGATTTTATCTTCCATGGCTTGCTGCTTGGTATGCCCATCTACTATCGCTTTTCTCAACTCCTTCATCTCTGCCATGATTGCATTGAGAACCTCACCCATATCAATTGATGTTCCCATGCTTTTTCACACTCCCTCTAATACAAAGTGAGTATAATCACTATGTGACCTCTCAACAAAGGAGTCACAAAAGGTGCAGGTGACTCTATCACAGCTCTATAGTACTCCTCTCCATAATTCCTCACAAGAAAATCTCTCCATATCCTCTTCTGTCTATATACTGTTCTAATCTCTACATAAGTGCTGAATCGAACCGGGACAGGTGGTTCGCGATTCAAATCCATGAAACAATCAGTATAGAATGTATATAGTACAATCCCAAGTCTCTCCATAAGTAACTATTGGAAGAATCAGTGGCACTCTTGACTCCATCACTCTAGTCATAAAATCTGCACCCCAACAAGCCACAAGGTACATCCGAAAATGATGTTTCTCCATGCAACGAAGGTGAATATCGAATAGGTTAGGAATTGGCCAGTGCGGTACTGGATTCCTGTCAATCCCGTCCATATCTGCAAAAACACAATGTCCCCCTTCCACCTCTCTCTACATGCAGATGAATGACCTCTGCCAGCCTCTATACACTCTCAAGACTACACTCCATCATCACTCACTTGCTATTCCATGAGGGGTAATCCACACTCAAGGAAAGAGCAAGGTCGCTCTGATACCATTGTAACACTAGGGTTTAGAGAGAAGTTCACTCGAAGATAGAAACGTAAACTGTGAAGATGAGCGATACCAACAATGGTTCTCCTCTCCCTTATATAGCTCTCACCAACAAGTACAAGGTGATAAGATCTAATCCCCACCATCCATACCTCTCCTAGTGGATGGATGACGTGGCGGATAACCCTAACAAGCACACGGATCGCTGACGTGGCGCACCCAACTAACACACTAACTAACACACTCAATCCTTAGCTACAAGCACACGGATTGCTGACGTGGCACTGTCAACTAACACATCCACTATGTACCTACCAAGTGCGCGGATCGCTGACGTGGCAACTATGACTAGTGCACACTAAAGTATCTACATCAATATTCAGAGTAACCTCTACTTTAGTTCTAACTAACTAAAGATGGTTACAACAAGTTCCAAAGTCCGTGTAGTTTTCATCTTGCTTCGTTAGGCTTTCCGAGCTTTGTGCTTCTTTGCAAGCACAAAATCTTTACATTCACGATCTTTGCCAACGACAAGCGGAAGAAGTCATTGAACAAAACGCTTAGAGGCCATGTGGTAGGTCATCCATTGTGCCACAAATCAATGGCATCGGAAGATGTGACCTCTGACTTGGAAAGATGTTTTGTTAGAACCACATAGGTGAAGTGCGCAAGGCGATCGAATGGCTTCTTGTGCGAAGAGTGGAGCTTAAATGCAGATCGGAGTGACTGCACGTTGAATCTGTGAAGCTTGGGAAGTAGTCTTTACAATTTGGTGTGCGGATACCGTTGGCCATATAAGTATATCTTATTGATATTGAACTTATTGATTACAAATAATAAGCAGTAATGAAAAGCACAAATGTGAATAGCAAGTTTTTGATAAGACCAGCCACGTAAAGAATAGGCTTCTTTTTTTTTATTTGAATAACACGTAATGTAGCTTTACCAACAACAGCTAGACGAACTCTAATAGCGGTAAAAACTCTAGAATAAGAAACTGTAGGTTGAAATGAACTAAGGATGTTTTTATGACCAGTCACATGACTGCTAGCGCTTGTATCTAAAAGTTCATCTCGTGATTCTCCAATTGCTATATTTGCTTTTAAGTCTATTGATTCACAATCATCTCCACTATCGTCAAGTTTTTGAACAGCATAAGCTTGCACCAAAACGCGCCCCATGTTGAAAGTTCTAACCTGGAGCTGCAAAATCTGCTCGTCCAGCTTCTTGAGATCGTAATCTTGTTCCCAGTGATTAAGTCTGCAATAATAACTACATCGAGTATTTGATCGGTTGATTCGTTTAAATTACCATCTCTAGCTCAAAAATACTATGTGACAATCTATTAGAAAGATGGCCTAAAGAATCGCGGCTTGCGGGTGAACCGAGTGATTGCATCCGTAAAATCTTCCTCCTAATGACTGTCAATCCAAGTATTGTCAATTTGCAAGCGATGCACAAGATTGGTAAAGCCTGATGGCAGATCGATCAAAAGATCGTTGCTGAAAATTGATACGAACGGAGCTCAAAACAAGTAAAGATCCTTAAGTGTATAGTTAATAAGATCACTATCAAAGTGGCGATGCCTAGTAGCGGCGAGCTGTGATTTGAGCGTTTGTATGGTATGAAGATAGACATAGATGGTGATAGGAGCAGAAAGTTTGAGAGTAGCCAGTTTCTCAATCAACATAAGGCACCGCTAAACATTAATAGAATGATAGAGACTGCATAGATAATCTACATTTCAGAGGTATTATCCTCATATCAACAATAGAATAAAGTATATCAAGTGATACACTACTCTGCATCATTGCAATGGACTTTAATTGTTGACGTGAAACATCAGCATCGTCAACACCGCAAATAGGAGCCAAATCGAGAATAGTGCTTTCATAGACTACTTTGTCCCTGAGCATCATCTTCAAACGTATGGATCAATTCATGTAATTGAGTCGCACGGTGAGCTTCTCCTTGAGGCTCAGTGTGAACGCAAAATTATATTGAGTTCTTTCATGGCGGCTGGGAAGGACTCACTCTCTAGTGAAATACTAAGGAGCAATTGCTTGTCGAATAACAAGAGACTTTGTGATTATTAACATAAATCATTAGACGCAAAAGGATTGAAAAAAAATCTTAATATACAAACTTAATACTTAAAAAGAAAACAACTAAAAGCAGTTGCTCTCGGTTACATGTTGAGTGCAGTGATGCACTCCATCTAAAATGAAGCAATTGGATTAACACATTAAACTGAGTGCAAACTAATTGTTTTCAGTTACATGTTGAGTGTAGTGATGCACTCGAACTAAAATGAACCAATTGGATTAACACCATAAACTAAGTGCAAACTAGTTGTTGTCAGTTACATGTTGAGTGTATTGATCCACTCGAACTAAAATGAACCGACTGGTTTAACACTGTAAACTAAGCCCAAACAACTAGAGACATCCAGGGGTATCATCCTAAATCATATTGCTAATGTTCGTCTCGCTGAGACACTCACAGTTGTTATAAAATACTTGTGCAATTGGGTTGTAATGTATTCTTCCCTGGTTTCCTGGCTAGAATTTAAGGGAAATGTTAAATCGACCCATATCTTTACTAAATCGATCCATCACGTGAATTCTTCTTTTTTAACAAACTTACTGTTAAATTTAACTGGTATCTGCTCATCAAGAATGCTCTTTTTGAACTTGTGGTACGTGAAATCACTTTCGATATACTGGGACGTGTAGGTTTACGTTTTCAAGATTCAAGATGGGTCGATTTAGTAAAGAGATGGGTCGATTTAACATTTCCCGAATTCAAACAAATGAAGATCTACAACAACGTAAAGTAGTTGTTGTCGGTTACATGTTGACTGCAGTGATGCATTGGACCTAAAATGAACCGATTGGATTAACACCATAAAGTAAGCGCAAACAACAAGAGATATCCAGGTGTATCATCCTAAACCATATTGCTAATGTTCGCCGCGCTAAGACACTAACAGCGTGTTATAAAATACTTGTGCGATTGGGTTGTAATGTATTCTTCCCTGGTTTCTCGGGTAGACTTTAAACAAATGAAGATCTACAACCTAATGCTCAAAGTAGGGGCAAGCCTCCTTTCAGCTGCTACGATTTAACCTTTGACGAGGTTTCTTGCTCACAAAGACAGGAACATTATTCAAAATCAGATACATGATAACTCTCCCTCTCAAAATACCCCACGGAGCAATTCTCGATCCTTGTTCTACTGCTGCGTGAGGCTTCGAGGCTGCGGCAAGGGACGCCCGAGCTCGACAGGCAGGGATGAGAGAACGAGAGTTCAGAAGAATATAATAGAAAAGGTACCGAGTTCATTGAGGCTCGGACAAATGTCTCTGAGAATGTTGAGAACCATGAGAATCTGCGTTTGATCCGTCATTCCCCGCCGATGGTGGCACGAGCATTTTTTTCTCGCGTTTCGAACGCAAACGTTACTAATATATGTTAACATATGTGTGCGAAAAGTTGTGAGTGCATGTCTTTTCTGTTTACTCTGCTAAAACCAAACTCCACCATCAACAGCTGCAGACCGAACTAAACTTATAAACAACTCATATAACTTAACTCTCAAGCGATTGGGAGAAAAAATGTTTTCAAGAATTGACAGAGTTGAGAACTTAATCTTGTTACATAATATAAGTTTCAGATCTACTTCTAGTAAAATTCCTCTCTACTCCCGCTCTGGGCATAAGGCTCAGTTAGCGAATTTCAAACTAGATCCCATTTGTGGATACTGCAGCATTTTCATATGAGATTACACCTATGTGAAACGTCATGTTGACTGGTTCGGCCAACTGGTGTTGATTAACAAACACATCACAAAAAATTTGGCAACAAAAGCTGCCTCCACTCGGGCTCTTTATACAACCTTGTGGCACGTTCCAGAGTTCTCCACTCTTCTCAGTTCTCCACTCCAGGAACCGAGTTTAAATTTCCCTTTTGTTCAACCAGGTACTGGCATGAAAATTTCCATCCACATCGTCGAAGGGAACCACCGCGCACTCGTTCGACTGGGTGATACAGTGCTCTACGCAGATGATATTCACTCTCGGCATTCTCAAACAGTTAAACAGCTTCTAACGACATCTCAAAGAATTAAACAGTTCCTAACGACATCGAGGAAGTGCTCTTGCGTGTTTGGTAAGGAGATATCGTCCTCGGTCAAGGGCTACGAGTACTGCAACCATTTTGTGCGGAACCATTTGTTGAGAATATGTGGGAAAAGTTTCATTGAACATCTCAGAGAACTCCTTGCGATTATATCCTTCCTGGATAGCCTGAGGGATGTCAACCGTTTCCTACATGCTTCAGCTTAAAAGGAGTCAGATATAGAGAGGGATGGAGCGTATCACTAGATGTGACAACACATTGGCAAGTGGCAGGTATTTGGTACATTCCGATACGGAGCTTCACAAAGCCACATGACTTCGGTAAGTCGTTCAGTCAATTCGACAGTTAAGAGGTATTTCGTTGGTGGCAGAGTAGAGCTTGGTGAACTGGAAAACCACAACAGGGTTTAGTTATTCCCCGTCCGAAGACGTCCAGGGCGTCTTTACAGTGTACCAGTACATAAAAAAATCTATTTTCTTTGGGACCTTTCGCCTCGCTGGTTGCCAGACAAGGATTCAAGTCAATGTTGACTACATCGTTCTGGCACACTGACTGTCAGTACCGCTTGACAGCATCTCACTGAGAGTGAGCTAGATGCTCTGAACTTCAAGCTTTTAAGTGTCGCCATCCTTTGGTCTGAAAGCCCGAAACTTTGGTCTCACCTCCCCGCTGTGTGATATCAGGCGAGTGCATGACTAAGGACGTGGCTGAGCCAGTCCGTCCTGAGGGCTTGAAAATTTCCTCCCTCGGGAACTTAGTACAGCTAGCGGGTTTTCAAACAAGATTGTCTTCAACTTGCCCTCCTTTAAGAGAATTGTGCAGAAGGGAAGCGTCTGGTTTACCGATTTTCATAGATCCAAGACATAACCAAGTCCAACATGCATGCATGCGAAACCATCGAAGATAGTCGACAGATTAACTCCATTCGGTGCGAACTTCGTCTATGCCCCATGGAGCCCTTAACAAATATAATGTGCATGAAGAGATCAGCCTACCCTCATTCATTCTGCCTCATCTACCTCTTTCCGGAAATACGAGCTACTACTCCAGGAGTGATCGCTATTTACAGGACCCAGTTTGACTTTGAAATGTAGTACGGCACCTCCAACATCACAATCAATCGTCCTCGAGGCGGGCTTCCGATATGCTACTCGGAATTTGTTTCTGTTCTCAGGCCTGCACTCAAAACAGAGTGACAATATCAATTATCACTTCAGAAATACTCTGATTGTGCGTCTCTTTTAGCTTGCAGCAGACTATAACACGGAGTTCCAACTTAAATATATACAATATCAACGAAAATCAGTCAAGGAAGGAATCTAGAATGACCTTCATACAAGCCACTACATGTTGGCCGACATTCGACTTTCGCTGGTGCTGTACTGGAGAACTTGGCCCCTGAAGAGTACAGCAGTGCCACAATGGCATCAGGCAGAGCAAACTGAAGTCCCCCTGATGATCTGCAATATCGAAGAGTTCACAAGAGTGAGGGTCTCACAATCTCCTGCCACTGACTTCGGCTGCCTTTGCTTGAAACTAGACAAAGTTGTCAAATAAAACTCCCAATAACACCGAAGAAGATGTACACGGGTTTCCTCAGTCATTTCAAGCGTCAACCAACGAAGGTATAATGTTCAAGCATACGAGTTTAGCCTGACTGGAAGTTCATGTTTAGATTATGTACTTGTAAGTTCAATTGAGAGATGAAGTCACATCGCGGCCCATGGATGTCAAGACAGGAGTTGATTTCCAACTCCAAAACAGCAGATGTAATGTATTTACCAACTTCCGCGCGATCACAAGATCTGGTCTCTTGGTGACAAACATATCCTCCCTCTACATGTCCGATACAGACCACAAATATGCTTCTCGCTCCATGGCCTGCTTCTCGTTCTTAGCCTTAAACATATCCCTTTCATAACCAGTACTGCGGTCCACTCCATCCCAATGTCGACCTGGTTTTATGCCATAACGGTTCGCAGGAGGTGCTATGCCCCTCTTGAGCCAGCTGTGACTTGGTATGTCTTGGGGAACAATAAACCCTGACGCTTTCATCTCCTCGCTCGCACCGAAATCTGGCAAAACGGGTTCAGGCATCTTCTTCTTCACAAGGTGAGCCATGGGATCTCCCCAGCGCACTGCTTCTTTGAGACTCTTTTCCAGCTCTGCATCGTCTCGAGTGCGGGAAAAAGGCTTGTTCTTTTCTGCTTCTAGCTCCGCAAACTTGGCTTCCATTTCCTTCTTCTGCGCAAGACCCTTCCCCCATTCTAATGGCTGCTCTACAGGTTTGGCCTCCCCCTTCTGCTGTCTAAGAAGCTCTTCCAAACCTTCCAGCCTTCTGCCTCTTTTGTCACGGTACACTGTCTCGGCACCTCGCCCACTCTCAGATGGATCCAAATCCGCAAGAGCCTTTTTTTCCATGGCCTTCTTCCGCTGTATCTCTTCCACAACTTCCTTTTCGGTCTTGAGTCCTCCCACTGATCCATCAGCCATTCTGGGTTTTTTCGTATTTTTCCCTTCCATTGCCTCTCCAAATCTACTGACTTTTTTCCTCGGTGGCGACAAGTCGGGGGAGTCATTTCGAGTTGGATTCCTCCGTGGAGGTGACAAATCTGTGTCTTTTCTCCTCCTCGGGGGCGATATATCAGGTGAGCCATTTCTTCTTCTCGGGGGTGACAAATCTGTATCCTTCCTCGTCCTCCTCGGTGGTGATGTGTCAGGTGAGTCGTTTCTTCGCCTCGGAGGTGACAAATCTACATCCTTCCTCCTCCGCGGTGACATTTCAGGTGAGTCATTTCTTCTTCTCGGAGGTGACGAATCTGCATCTTTCCTCCTCCTCGGTGGTGATATGTCAGGAGAGCCATTTCTTCTTCTCGGAGGTGACAAATCTGCATCTTTCCTCCACCGCGGAGATGATGTGCCGGGAGAGCCATTTCTTCTTCTCGGAGGTGATAAATTTGCATCTTTTCTCCTCCTCGGTGGAGAAATGTCAGGTGAACCATTTCTCCGTCTTGGAGGTGACAGGTCTATGTTTTTTCTCCTCGGAGGTGACACGTCAACAGAACCATTCCTTTTCCTTGGAGGTGACATGTCTTCCTGCTTCCTCCTCCTCGGGGGAGACATGTCTGGAGAATCATTTCTACTCTTTCGAGGCGATAGGCCAAATGAATCGGTTCGGTTTCTCGGAGGAGATAGGTCTCTAGATTCAACTCTCCTATTCCTCTCCGAATCTCCGGAAATTTCATCCCTGCCTTCCTCCGCGTCATCTTTCACTGTCACCCATCCACTCCCGTCGTTTGCGACAGAAAGATAAGGCCGGTGAGACTTCAGAGCCTCCATCCGATGCATTACCTTCACATCGACGTCTTCGATGACCGTGGGCTTGTCTGCTTCGTCGTCGGGCGGGTCATCGTCGTCGAGCTTTCCCTCCTTTTTCCATACACCATCGTTGTCAACGATCACAACGCCGTTGCCCAGCTTACTCGACGCTCCTCCCTTCACCTTTCGTTTCTTCTTCGGCTTCACTTTTATTTCGTCGTCCCCTCTCGTGGTGGTAGTGGCGTTATACCTTTTCAAATAATCCTGCATCGAGGTTGCCATTCTTCCTGCCCTCCAGTAACCTCTACTCTACTGCGGCGGAAAGTCCAAACAAACCTAAGCAACCGTGATGGAAGGATGACGAACTTGTTCAGCTTCGATACCGCCACGAGTCAACTGTACAGATTGTTGTGCATGATTTCTCAACTGCTGCAAAATGCAGACTGTCTTTCAGTTTTCAAAGCACTGGGTTCCTCGATCATATTCTACCGAAGTTCGACAGAAGATCAATCGGGTAATCGGCTCCGCTTGCATCGCACGCACGACCATCTGGCTTCACGCCGCTCCGTGCCAGCTCCAATACGGCGCTAAAAGCTCAACACCTGAACCAACCGAACCAAAACAGAGCAATCTCTCTCCTGCCCTCAGACCACGATCTACAACACGACGTCGTTCTAGCTCGGAGACATCTCTAAACACTTGACATTCTTCCACGAGCGCAAGAATCGCACACTCGGCGTCGACGAATCAATCAATCGACGCTTCAATCGATGAAGCACTTCAATCCCGCAAGTCGAAAACTCATCGTCGTGCGATGATGAGTTTTCGTGAGCAAGAACCCTAAACCTTGAGGTCTTCCACGGGACAAATCGCAGCACTTCGATCCTCGACTGCTTGCCGCAGACGCTGTCTCACGAGCGCGCTGAGCCTTTCGAGCCCTCCCCTCCCCTCCGCGTTCGATCGCTGGTGCATTTTCATTTCAGCACCGTTATTCGTCTAATACGTTAAATTCACTCCTCCTTCATGTTGCGTTGGAAAGGGGGCGGCTTTTATTGATAGTGACGGATTTAATTGCTCTTCGGAGATATCATTCTTATTTCTGACTGAATGAGAGAAGGAAGGGTTTAATGTATACAAGCTGGAAATCTCCTCATGTGAGCTTTGGCACAGCGACATGATTTTCGCACTTATGGTTCGCTATTTCATCTTTCCTCGTCTCGCAAGTTCAACACGCCCATCAATACTTTGACAAGGTATTGTAAAGTGCATCGATAGCATCCTATATCAAAAATGAGGAATTCAGATAACCAACAACATCACAACTTTGCATTTGGGAGTATTAAGTTAATTCAACTCACATTTGACTATATCTATTCCCCCTCTTTCTATGTTTATGCTTATCTGAGTTAATTGTTTCTATCGCATCTCAGCTAAGTATGTTTGATCTACATCAAAATATACACTTACATTGACTTGAACTTTTGCTTCGTGTAAATGTAAATGTTTGCTGACATAAATATTTAATTTTGATTTCGAAGTGATATCATGATTTTTTATACACATTTCATATTATCATCAAATTTATCTCTAAGATATTTCTTGTCTTTTAGATTCATTTAGAATATAAGATACAAATCGTTTTAAATATTAGTGGTTCACTTAACTTAAATATTAACTTAAGTTAATATTTAAAACGTTTAACTTAAGTTAGTTTCACATGGTTAGATAAATGAAATTTTGTCTTCAGTAATATAAGAGACTTCACATACAATAAGCTCTTCGTGACAAAATTTCAGATATTTTAGTGCAGGATTCTGTGTACTTTAAATTCGAAGCTCTTTTGACGTAAACTATTTACAATTAATGTATAATTTGTCCCAAATGCTTGTCATTGTGAATATTGATCAAAAGCAAAGCTGGTACGTTGGTCTTGATCAATCAGAACCAAGAGGTACTAGTGACAATTTTCCATGAGAGTGTTAGCGGGTATTTCACACAAAGCAACGATTGACTGATTTAAGAGGAACTTTGAGAGTTGCTCTACGGTAGTTGTAGTGTTCAATGATAGTGGAGAGCTTGTTAGTTTATTGTAGGCTTGGCCACGGTTAACCGGTTCCGAAAAAAGTGGACCGGTTAACCGATAGTTTAACCGGTCTAACCTTGGCCACGGTCCGATTAACAGTTAACCGATGGTTTAACCGTGACAAATTTGATATAGAAGGCTTGATGTTGAAAAATTCTTAGGAGTACGAGCTCATCAGTGTCCGGCTGGCTGGGCAGAGAGTGAGATGGATAAAAATGGTAACTGGTAAGAGAGAGAGAGAGGAGTGCTTGTGAGGAGGGCAAGTTGGGAGCCAAAACTGCGACGGGGCGATTTGATCGTCGCTTTGATCGCGCGCATGAAAGCATAGGTCGCAAGTTTGATCGTCGTCGAACAGCGCGCACTTCGGCGAGCGCGGCGAGCGGCAGCTTCTCTTTCTGGCGCTGAATGTTTGTTGTCCTCGGTTTCTGGGATTTCTGGCGATTGGTCTTAGTGACGGCCGTTCTCGACGATCTGGAATTTAGTCGTTCGCGGAGAGTGTCATCCGCCGACGTGGGATCTTGAATTCACGGTGAGTCGAAATGCTTGTCAGCTTTCTTCGTCGTCTAGAGTCCTCCGTGTTAGCACGTCCCGAGACTAGGTTTATTGTTGACCATCTTCGTTCGAAGCTATCTGAAGCTGCTAGAAAGTTGGAAGTCAGTTTCTCGCTTAGTTGCTTATTGACGAGAGCCAGGACCTCCTCATTCATTTTCGTCTTGAGATTTCCGATTGACGGACCTCAGTGAAGCGTCAGTTTGAATGAAGCTCAAGCTCTTTTCGTTGTTCTTCGATCGATCTTCTTCAGCTGTCCGAATGGTGTTAGGACGGTACTGGGATTTCAGGCGAGTTTCTATTTCGCACTTTTCTCTTTGTGAGAAGAAGTAAGGGTTATATGAACTTTCATATCGTTTGTCAGCGCATCTACATCAGTGAAATATTTCCAAGCGGTCTGACCCAAACAACTTACTTACAACTGAATTTTCATTCCACTTGAAAACAATAATCATCAGAATTGCTCTCACACTGCTTCAGTATAGTCTGGGATTTTGTATGCACTTAGATCTCAGCTCTAGCCTCAAACCTCTTGCCAATTCTTCTGTGATTCATCAGCCGTCATAGAAGGTCAATTCCCTGAAGGAGTGTTACAGAACAGATGCAAATTCCAGTGCAAGGTGGGACGAAGCTGCAATTTCTTGAGGACACACACACTACAGAAACGATAGACTGCTTGGTCGATTGTACAATATGATGTCCCTTAAACGCATAGTTTCTAGTGAAGATTCTTCAGAGAATCAAAAACAGTCAAGACCTTTTCGGGGCAATGAGCGGAAACTGCGACTGGGCGCAAATCAGTCAAGACGTTTGAGCGAGTGTTTCGGGCGAGAGGCAGCGTGAGACGCTAAGAGTCCTTGTCGCATAGAGGCCCATTTGCGGCCCAAAGCAAAAACAGTCAAGACCTTTTCGGGGCAATGAGCCGAAACTGCGAGTAGGCGCAAATCTTGAGTTTACAATTCTCGGGGTTCACTCGGTGGGAGGGGAGGGAAGGGGAGGCGAACGGGAGGGGAGCTGTGGCGGATCCATCGTCGAGTAGAGAAGGGGACGCGAGAGCGCATTTGCGGATGTAGAGTCGAAGAAGGGCGGGCTCGTTTCTCTCCTATCGCTGCTCGTAGGACTCTCCTATCGTATTGACGAATTGTCCCTTGCTCAGCAGATATGGCTTCCGGAAGTGCACGCAAGGCTGGAGCCCGACTCACCAACCTGCTCTATGGCTCCATAAATTCTTCAACTCCTGCTACCGCAGCATCATGGACTCAAACCGGTCTCGCCGCCGGGTAAAAAAATTTATATTGCTCTTACGACTAGTAGTGGTGCAGCGGGCTCTTAGGGTGATGTTTTACTAGAGAACAGTACCGTTGCTTGGATCTTTCTTTTTTTATAAACAGAATTCGCTTCAATAATTTGGATCGAGTGTTGGTTGTTCACTGTCTGCGTAATCGGAGCTGGTTCAACACGTTGGAAGAATTATCCTTCTCGTTTCCAGGTCTTCAGTTGGTGTATGCGAAGTGTCGGATCTAGTCGTGGGTTGATGCTCCGATTCAGTCTTCTGCATAATCGTTTGTGGATGCTACGTATGCTATGCTGAATAAGAAGTCTGATAAGCATTGTTTATGTGGTGCAGGGAATTGGCACCTTTTGGTGCGCGTATGGCATCCAATCAGATTGGTTAGTAGAAAATGCCATTGAAACCTTTCCTGCACATCGTGTTTTTTCGGAATACTTCTAGTAGTATATTAATTCTACATTTCTCAAGTTTTTTCTTTGTTTCTGACACTAAAGGTCAGTCCGAAACCTAAATTATGAATTTTTGGAAGTTAAGATTTTTGTTCAGAGTTTCTGTCTGCATATAATGCTGGAAGTATGTTTGATGATGGCGATATCTGATGTATATTCCCAATCTGCAGTGAGAAATAGGATGAAATCTGTGAAGTCCATTCAGAAGATTACTAAGGCTATGAAGATGGTTGCTGCATCGAAGCTACGAGGAATTCAGGGAAAGACAGAAGATTCACGAGGACTCTGGCAACCATTCACTGCCCTTCTCGGTGACGCACCAGGTAAGATCTCTTGTTTCATGTAGATCGTCGACTTTGATTGAATTAGATCTGTCCGAAACTTTTCTTGTTGGTTCTTTCGTCTTCCACAATCTCTAGGTGACAATCAATCACACCGTGGTAGTTCTGATGAAAGCTTCTCACCAAGTTCGATTCTCCAGGTGTTGATGTGAAGAAGAAAGTCATCTTGACTCTTTCATCAGACAAGGGGTTGTGCGGTGGAATCAACTCCACTTCAGTGAAGTTCAGCAAGGCTCTTATGAGATTGACAGCTGCCAGTGGTTAGTACCGGTTTTCAACCATATCGTCAGTGTTTTTATGTGAGAAGTTTCTCATTTATTCTTTACATCCACACTAAATTTGTATGTCTTAAATCAGGTCCGGATAAGGAAGCCTCGTACATTGTCATTGGTGAGAAGGGAAAGGCACAATTGCAGCGTGACTCAAGGAAAAACATCAAGATGTTTATCACTGAGACGCAGAAGTTGCCTATCAATTTTTCCCTGGTTGGTTATCTCTCCTCTCACTTCTTTTTGCAGTTCCCTAAATACTCGTACGCTCACTATGTCCATTTAGATTGGGCAACATCTCTTGTTGATTCTTCAGGAATCGGATTTAATCTCTAGGATCCAACGCTTTGCAGTCAACGCAGTCGATTCTGTTAATCAAAGGTGGGCTCTGAATCATGTTTGTTCAGGCATCCACGCTCACAGATGAAATTTTGAGGACGGTTCAGTTCGACGCTATTCACTTGGTCTTCAACAAGTTCCAGACTGTGGTTTCTTACTTGCCAACTGTTGCAACTATCTTGTCTCCAGAGGTACGTTATCCTCTGACTACGCAATGAACTTTCTTGGCATGATGGAAACTAGGATTAAGTAGTTAGCCGTTCTGCTCCTTTTATGTATTTTATTTATGTAAAGCTCACCTCCTACCTTCTCCTAGTTGTATGAAATTTGAATGTTTTGTCCGCTGCAGACAATGGCCAACGGTGTAGAGACAGGAAAAATGAGTGACTTGAGCAATTATGAAATCGAAGGTTCCGAAACGCAAGCTGAAGTTTTGCAGAATTTGAGCGAGTTCCAGTTTGCCTCGGTAGGTGAAACGATATAGAAGGAATTGAATTTCTTTTGACTTCGTGTTGTGTAACCCGTTCAAGGCCTACCTCTTGTCTTACTGTCTAGTTTTCGTTGCCTGCCCTTCGGAGATGCTTCATGTACATTTTTACCTTCAGTGCTTCACGTTGCTTATTTGGGCTAGCTCGCGCTGACGACTTAAAAAGCTGCTTGATACATGCATCTCTTCATTATGTTTGTTTGCTTTTAATGACGTGTACATGCATTTTTCCTTTCTTTCTAAAACTAGCCATTTCCACTAATAATGCAACTTTCTATCACGTTTTGTATAGAAGGTTCTCTGGCTGTCTATGGTACCATGTCAGCTGACTATATCACGGATATCTCCTTCATTGTGTGATCTGTGTTGTGTTGAGAGTGGCAAAATCACAACCTCCATCATGGTGTGCAGGTAGTGACGTTTTAAGATACGCTCTTGCTGTGCAGGTTTTGTACAACGCAATGTTGGAAAACGCTTGCAGTGAGATGGGAGCCCGTATGTCTGCCATGGACAACTCAGCCAAGAATGCTAGTGACATGTTGGACCGCCTGACGCTCAGCTACAACAGGTTAGTTTCGGAATGTTTCTCCTCAAGTCGGTTTTGGTGTAACTTACTGAAGTTGCTTATCATCCGGAGTAAGTGTACCAACTGATCACCTTGTTCGGTCTGCAGATCACGACAAGCACAAATTACCACGGAACTTATCGAGATTATTTCTGGAGCGGCTGCTTTGGAAGCATCTTAAGCCAAAACAAATTTATGGCTTGCTTACGATTAGATGTTAACATTTTTCTGACTCGATTTGATGAGGCCATGAGTTTCGTGGCAAGAGAACCCGAGGAGGCTCATTTGTGGACTCACATACGTTCACCGTGCGACCTTGCAGCTCAAGGTGTTTGAGTTGGTCCAGAATAATTGATGGTCAACTTCGCCTCCACTCAAGACATTGTACTTGTGCACAACGTACGCATGGTTCTTTAGCACAAAAAGACATCCCGAAGTTCTATATCTGGATATTTCACCTTTAAGTGGTGTATGAGTTTTGAATTGCACATAGAGAGAAAACGGTGCTGTACGATCCATTTCTTAAAGGTCTGGGACCCTTGCTCTTGTCGCTTAATGATAAGGAAGTAAGCTCACTATTCAAGTTTTGGGGGAGCTTCAAGCCATAGGTCAATATCAAATTGAGTTAGGAGTCTTTTTTTTCTGTTCAAAATGGAATGGATCACTGAATAAAGACACCTTCCTCTTTGTCTCCATTCATCTTTCTTCTACTCTCCCGAAGACAGTCCGGTCTGTCAATTGCTCGAGGTGTATGTACGTTGACTGGCCGTCAAGAGATACTTACGTTTCAGTTTCAGCTGGTTTGGTGGGGCCTATATCCTGTTACTTCGTCATCCTGGGTATCACTGCCTTTCTATCCTTCGATTGCAGCCCAATCTTCACGTAACCAGTGTATCAGACGAACGTTACAAAGTGCTCGCCAGACAAAAACTCGTGTCCCTGTCCATGGGTTTGTTCACGCAAGGCTCGGAATGTTTTTTAAGGTCTGAGTCAATTTTTTCTTGACAAGGAAGCGACTAGTCAACCTACCCATCCGTTTCGTGTACAATCTCCAATGTCGGCAGGCCGGTCAAGGAAAGACCATGAATGTCGCGAATGTGGTCGCAGCTTTGAGTTCTGCGTCATTGAGTGCGTCAGGAGCAGAAGATAGTAGTAATTTGAGCAATGCGTGAGCGTGGTTATCGCGATAAACGACCTGGAAGGGCAGAACAGTACGTGCATCGCAGTTCGAACGCAGTGCATGTTGTATCGCGGTTCACTAACCGAGAGCAAGTGTGTAAGAATCCGTCTTTTGGTGCCCAGGATGGGAGGTTCGAGATCGGGCATCATCTTGGTTGACAACGAACAGAAACCAGTATGATACAGTTGCTGCAGACGAAACTACCAATTGTGCCAACATTAGGAACGGTCAGACATTGATATATGATAGTCCCCCGTGTGTCATTCTAATATGACGACTGAAACTAGCAGAAAGTCCTGACCCGTTCTAAAGTTGGTTGGCCAAAGCCCAGGGCAGCAATCACTCGTGTTCTGCAGCTAGCTTACTGTTGTCGTCTAATCATGCTAAGCAACCAAGTCTGCCATCCATCGTCCGATGGATGGCAGACTGAAGACGTCGATACACCTGCAGACTCAGTTACTTGGAAATACAGTTATCTAGTTCAGTGGGATCGTTAAGGCAATCATCAACACATCAACCAAATTTTGTCCATTCTGTTTGGATAATTGGGGATAGTTTGAGTTTATCCACCAGTGTATTAGAATTATATCAAAGTCCATTTGTGTGTTACATTTCTACCATTCTATTTCACCAACTTCGATGAAAAGGGTTGTGTATGCTAGTTTTCTACTCTTAGTATTTTTATTTTTCAGATCCCCATATCCGAGAAGGAGGCGAAGGACGCGTACCGAGCGAGCAGCGATTGGAGAAAAACGAGGAGAATGAAAGCAGAGAGATCGTCTCTTCGACTCTAAATCCGCAAATGCGCTCTCGCGTCCCCTTCTCCACTCGACGATGGATCCGCCACAGCTCCCCTCCCGTTCGCCTCCCCTCCCCTCCCCTCCCACCGAGTGAGCCCCCCGAACTGCGGACGAGAATAGTAAACTCAAGGCGCCCATCGGGAGGTCCGGGGGAGCAAGAGGACAACCCGGGCCGAGGCGGAGGCGGAGGCGCGGTCCCGAGCCTAGAGAAAGAGCTGCCCCTCTTTCTCACCCACCTCCAGTTTATCAGTCGCTGCGTCGGTTGCCTCTTCAGAGAAGGCATGGGATGGAGGACGGACCCTGACAGATTGCCTGTGGTGTGATTTGTCTGCAGTGGACGGAATTTCGGTTTCAGTTCGCTTTCCATCCTTCTATGAGTTTAATGAGCTTTTTTAATGACATAGTCGAAAGAAAATACTGTACCAGCGTCCGTTTGCAACCCACAGATTAACTTTTCTACTTGGAAAACTATACTCTATTTAATAAGTTCGTGTCTTTCATAGATTGAAGTTTACTTTGCATGCCCCTTTCCCATCTAAGCCAGAAACTAAATGCACAGCCTTTGCTATTATAGTCAACTCTTTTTAAATCATTGTCGACTGTGAAAATAAGAAACGAATCAGTTCGCATTTTCTGGTGGTTCTAAATCTCTTTCGTTCTGACATAATTCGCCGCGATGTCTTTCGATTCTATTCTTCTGCTTTAGTCTGTATTGTCAAGTTATGTGCAACACGCAACTCCGTCTGGATGCATCTTATGTGTGGTTCCTGATCGTTTTCGCTCTTAACGTCTAATTTAGTCATAATTGGCTCCCTTCTTTTTTATTTAGTCAAATTCCTTACATTAGTGAAAAAATCAAGTAATCTCCTCACCATCCAAAGAAGATCCAAAATCGGGTCAGGCTCTCTTCATGACTCTTGAATGCATGAAAATAACTACATGTTGGATGAAAAAAGGGTTATGAAATATTACATAGCTGCAAATTTCAGGTTGTTCGATCGAACTTGAAGATATTTTATGTTTATTAATTAGCAAAAGGCTCAGTCTTTTTCAGTGTTTGAAGTCATTAAGGTGCTCACAACAAACATAAATCCCTTCCATAAATTGAATTTCCTTCGTAATTCACTTTATGAGTGATAGGTACCAAAAACATCGTTCCATGTATAGATAGTTAATTTACATGAGATATCTTGCATTTTGTGGTAGATGTCATACATCTTATCATGGATGTAATGAATTCCATAAACTATGACCAATATCTCAATCTGAAGTGCAAGTTAAGACGTAAAGGTTATACATAACTTTTACCCATCTATCTATCGACAATGAACACTTGTTAATAAGTTTTCCAAACCATTATTTTCATTTAGAAACGATATTACATGGTCTATTATGAGGCCATTATGTTAATATGTTAAATTGCATGTAATTTTGATTCTCATTCTCAATCTAGCTTGATGCATAACAAGTATAATAAGAGGATCTAACTATTATTGGAAAAATTAGATTAATATTCAAAGAAAAGAAGAATACCAATTTGATAATTAGGTAAATACTTTATCATATTTAAAGACTTAATGGAGACTATAAAGTATGTATTGAGTTCCTAATATTATATTTGATATTTGAAATATAAAATTGATCTCATGTCAAAATTGAAAGAGATTTTAATTTAGTGCACAAACTAGCCAAAGTATGAAATCTAGTCTAATTTGATCAATGTCAAGCTTGTGACTAGTATAATGAAGGTGATGGATTCCATCATATACCTTTTTTTCACATGAATCACTTCACATGATATATATATATATATATATATATATATATCTAAAATAGCAATATAGAGACTACATGGAATATATTTTTTTATAATGTAATAGTAATCTCCTTCATCATTTAAGACTGGATACAGTACATAAAAATGCAGTTGATAATCACTTTCGATAACAATGCAAGTAAATTTTTTACAGTGTTGATTCTACAATTACATGTACATCTGTTTTAATTCACAAAAATAGATTAGAATATGCAGTTTGACACAAAAGAACTATATATCAACAATAATTTATTGTCAAATTGTCAGTTTTGGTTAATAAAATAACATCTTATTTTTTGATTGCATTTTTGCAAAACAAAATAATTTTGGCAAAAATCTTATACTAAATTGACATAAATTTTAACATTGTTTTCATAAATTATAAGATATATTTCAATACCTTAGTTTCTAATAACAAACTTATTATCATATACAAAGCTGTGTGCATTATAATTAAAGCATCACAGCTGGAATAAGATTCAATGTTTCTAAATAGAGCAAAATTTGAATCTATCATCACAAAAAGTGAAGTATATTTATGACTTAATATTATTTGTAAAAATTCAAATAAATTTTCATATTAATAATTAGAAATAAATATATTTAAACAGTATACTTGTTTAATTATTGCAGTGTAATATTTAAAAATTATTTTTAAAATAAAAATTAAATTAAATTATAGTTAATAAAAATATTTATGATTATCAATCTATTTTCACAAAATGTAAGTATGAAGGTTTATAAAATAAAAAAAAATTAGTCAAATATTTTTACAACCCTAACAATTGACATCTGATATGATTGTATATTGATTACATTAACTTCAATGTTATTCTAATCTTGATATATAAACAGCATTCTATATAGAAAAATTAAAATATAAATTTTACTAGATTTAAGATAAAAATTGTTTAAGACTAACAACACATGAGCCAATATGATACAATCTGTAAGAAAATAAAGTAAAATTAGATGATTGAAGATTAAATATATCGTTTATCATTACAATATATCAATATAACTATGATTAGCTTATAAATTTTTCCTTAATACTTTCATCTTCAAGAAACATATTAAATATTTGACTATTTTCTTTATACTTTTTGTGAAATATCACATTGTTAACAGGCTAAACTCTCACAATAGAAGGTTGAAAAATTAGTAAACAAATTATTTTTTTCATTATATGAGAAATTTTTAAATGTATAAATCATTCAAAAAAATTTGATAAGTAGAGCAATATTTTTAAAATTCTGCAAGTTTTTTCAAATAGTATTATTTTATATTTATTATAATTTTCATCAATTCCTATATATACATACATACATACACATAACATAATTATGAAAAGAAACAAGTATGCATGCTCTGATAATGAAATGAAATTAAGTAGTGTAACAAAAATTTTACTGTGAAGATGATTTGCATAAAGCTGTGATTTTTTTAATTTTTTTATCAAACTTTACATCGTAAATTTCATCAATAAAAAAGCATACCTGATTTTTCTCATAATTTTTTTTAACCAATTGCAAATCTCACCAGAACAAATAAACATCAATTAATTTTTCATTATTTCTGCATTTGACATACTTGTTTTAGTTCTTATATTTTTTCATAGCATATATATATTTTATAATTATTAAAAATATATTAATTAATATGGAAAATACAAGATTCTCATCATTTAAATATTATTTAAAATATATTAAGAATATCAAAACATTTTCTTTCATCATCATGCAAGAAAACATAACAGATATGTTTTTAAAAAAAACCTTTACGTTAATAATATTTTTAGCTATTTTTTTTTATTAGCCTTTTATGCATATAATTTATAAATATGAAGATTAAATCAATTTCAAGTAAACTAATCATATAATTTATTATTCAAAGAGTGATGCTATGAAGATGACTTTTAACTTTAGATAATATCTTATTGCATAAGTTTCATTATGTCAAAACTAAAAATTCAACATGTGATAAAATTTTAGCAATTTTTTTTTGGAATCTTTAAATCATTTATTCTTATTAGATGCAATATTTTGACATTGCACTTAAAAATAAAATTGAATTAAAATGAAAGGAAAAGCCAAATTTATCAACATGATTGAATAGCTATCAAATTAACATGTTTTCTTATAAATATCATAATGTGAATTTAAAATTAAGAAAAAAATTGATTATTTTTTCAAGAACTCAAAATAATTCAAAAATTTATATGTTCAAATCCATCATGAACTATGTACATTTCTTTGCATGAAAAAATACATGATTAATAATTATGTTTTTATATACCTACACAAATATAATATCTTACATTTTTTTATAAATTAATTCTACATTATAAATTTCATTAATAGATAATATTTTTAAATAGAAATAGAATAAAATTTATCATTTAATTTAATTTTTAAATCAATGATTAAAATTTCCAAAATAAATTAATAAATAGATATCAATACAAATCAACTTCTTATCAAAAGAATATAATCATAAAATTGAAACTTTTGTTAACTTATTAGAAAATTTTGAATAATTTCAGTTTTCATGAATTTCAAAAAATTAAATAAAGTATCATGTCATCCTTTCAGTTGGAAGTTTTTAATTTAAAAAATATTATTTAAATTCCTCAAATTCTCATCATAACGTAATTTAATTTGATTTAAATTTAGTATCAATGTAAGAAAATTGCTCATATGTCATAACATTTTTTATTACATCATTTTGAAATTATTTGTGTCTTATTTTAATTTTTAACATAAGATTTTGTAATTCATTTCTATATTAATTTTTATGATTAAAAAATATTTTGATATTAATTGCTTTATAAAAGTATTTAAAATCCAAACTTAATGCTATTTCACATATTTTTATTATAATTTTTTTATGAATAATTTTAAAATTAATTCCAAGCCATTTTGTATTACAATTTACAGTTATATGCATTGCATCAATTATTATACATTAAAAAAATTCTTAGATACTAGTTTTATACAAAATAACATTATGTAAATTCTTAGATGACAATGAAATTATTTATCAAGTAAATTAATGTTGAAATTTGTTCAATATGCATGTAATGAACTTGATTCATCTATATTTGTGGAAACTATTAAATATTTGGATTAATCCATTGGAAAACAATAGTTGATAATTTCTTTTATATGGTAATGATATGTCAACTTATAGTATATCTAGAGCTTTTGAAATAATTATCAACTCCTCAATAAATTATGAAACATAAGCTTTTAAATACAACATTAGATTTTGTAATTTGATAAATATAAATTTGTAATAATAATATTTTTTATATATATATGACATATGGGTTTTTCATAATATAAAAAAAATTATTCAAGAATAAGAAGTTTTTTAATTATAGCTTGATATTTTAATATTGTGAATGAACTCAATTTCAAATTGTTCATTACCAAATTTGTAACAAATTTTTAATTGAATAAAAAAACATAAATAAACACAATGTGATATGTTTTAGATATAATAAATTGATACGTTTTCGGATCACTATCAGTTAAACCACTTGTTTGTTTGTTTTTTTACATAAAATCACTTATATCATTATGTAAAACAAATATAGTTAAATTAAGGCCATAAAAATATAGATTGAGTATATAAATATACCTACATAAATAAATTTTAATTCTATTTTACTTTTATTGAAATGCAAAACTTACAATGTGACATTAAATTTCCAAATTGTTTTAAAGTATAACTATGATCAAACATAATTAGATTTACATTCATGTTGATTGAATCAGTTAATTTATCAAAATCTCAAATATATTTTGATGCATGATGTCAAACGCTTAAGTCTATCATATTTTATCTTATTCATCTTTACAGATAAAATTCATTGCAAAAATTGAGATCAACAAATTATTATTTTTGCCGATATATGTCCATGTTTTAAAAATCAAATTTTGTAATGTATTAAGTTCGTGATTTTTGTATTGCAAATTTTTATTTCGAGTACCAAATTTTAAGTCCATGCTTGAATGTTTATTTGATCAATAGCATACTGAATTCATACAAGGATTTTTAAGAATGTGTTATTCATATTTTTTATTTTATTTTGATAATCTGTAGATCATCTCATGAATCTAAAATATTTCATTCTTTTAAGTTATAAACAATTTATCATTGAAGAAGATAGCATCTTCTTCCTAGCTTGAATCAGTTTTTTTGTCATATTATTTGTTTGTAAAATATGAAACTACTAATTGTTTGATGATGAAATTTTTTTATTATTATGTGGTGAGACACGTTAAAATTTGCCAATCTGTTTATGTTTTTCAACTTTTGCAACTGAAAAAACTTGCTCTTTTCAAGAAGTTTTTTTTTGGTGTGGACTCATAAATATTCTTATAATTTGTTTTATCCTTAATACTACTTTACAGAGACTTGTTTTTTCCATAAGATCTTTTCCTTGTGAAAGTATAAAATCAAAGCTCTCTTTCATTTTTAAAAAAATTTGATTACATACAGAAATATTTTGAAATTTTAATGTGATTATTTTGTTCATATTTATTATATTGATCATATTATCCACAACTAATCTAATTTTATATGCTCATCATCATCTGCTCTTCTAATGGTCAGCTGATCAAATTCTCCACTGCTTTTCCTCGTTCAGGAATAAGAGTAACTAGTTTACACTCGCTCTATATGGAAAACTCAGAATAACGATGTAAGATCAGACAATGGGTTGTCAACAATATGTTTTTTCAGAAACATGATGTAAATGTCTGATTTCATAATTAATCGGTCTTTGAAGAGTAAATACGAAGTTCGTGAAATTATACACAGCTTCACTGCCGAATCTGAAGTCGAAGATGTCAGGCAGGCTCACAAACACCTCGTACTCTCTCCGTCGTCATAAAAATCTTCATCTTGTTCACGTTCAAGCTTGCATAGTCCAGGTTCTTGGAGCTGCCAAACAACTGGCGCATCATTGATCTTGACCAGAAAGTTTTTATGCCTCAGATCATACAATGAGGGATTTACATCACGAGAGGTCACAAGTCCCAGTTTCTTGCTCAGATGAAGAGTTTTCATGGGTCCCATCTCCTTGAGTAAGGATAAAATGCGCAGTTGCAACGCAGTGAGATGCTCATCCGACTTCCGTTTCTTGTGAAAGGCATTCGACCCTACAATGTATATCAGCGGAAATGATTAATAGGAGACAAATGTAGCATCTGTTGCCTTCTTAGTTTCAGCACTCAAATTGATGGGAGACTCCGCCCACAATTTGACATCTTCGAATAGATTAGAAACAATCCTTCCAACGAAGCCAAAAGAAAATACTCAATTTGGATTTAGATCAAAACATAGCAAAGCTGATGAACACTCCAGCGAGCTTACTACAACAATTCATTTACAAGCCGACTTCGACACAAGTTAGATGGTGCAGAACAGTCTGATTGTACTCCGTTCTTGAATGGCATAAGAGACACCTTCAATCGCTCAGGGAAAGTGATCACCTTGGAGTTCCTTTTCAATTTGCCGTCGAGTCCGTCGATGAGCTTGACCATTTTCCAGAGCAGATTCGTGGTTCTGGATTTGTCTGGAACTTCCCTCAACGACTGGACAAGGCGGATTGGGAATTATATGCTCTTTGGATGTGAAGGCAGGCATGGGCGTTTTCGCAGGACGATGATCTGTGCAATCCCGAATTTCCGTCTCGATTTTCGCAGGACGCGATTTCTCCTTAATTGCGAACGCTGATCTGAGAACATTCTCAGGCAAAGGAGTTAACGGAGACGTCCGTTCCACAGCCTCAGCAACTTCTTTCCCGGACCCTTCTTCAGGAACAGGAACATGATCTTCATATATGAAAGCAGTTCGGTAACCAAAAAACTCAGGAGTATAAACTTGAGAAGCATCCGGGGTAGCTGCTTTTGGAAAAGACATGGGGATTGCGCCTGCAGTTGGAGTTAGACCCGAAGTAACTGAAGGGGGAGCGGACATTGGTGCTGGAAATGGAGCACGACTAGGTGGTCTACACTGGAGTGGAGTACTGCCTCGAGAGAATAAGACAGGAGAACGAGGCTGAGGACTTAAAGAAACTTCATGACTGCGGAAGAGTGGGCTCATAGGAAATGAAGGTGACAGAGACCAGATGGGAGGAAAGTCACTCACCCTCACAACCACATTCTTTTCTGACAGAAGTGACATCAAGGGGCTTATGGCAGAAGACTTCTCAAAACCCAATAACCTTGCCAAGGCCAACGTGGTGCTAGCCCCACAAACTCGCAACTCCTCGCACACTGCCTGAGTTTGCTCTTGCAAAGTATCCGAGTCCTCATCCTCCACCCAGCAACCAGTCTGCATCTCACGAACCTTCGCTCCTACTGCACCCTGCTCTTGTCCGGCAAAATCCATCGCAGTGACAATTGACTCAGACACAATCCTCTACCCAATTAACACCGCAAATTCCCGTCGACCTCGTCCATTTCTCCACGCCACGCGAGCTCTACAATCCGCTGCTCCATCCTCTCGTCGTGCTCGAGCTGCCTCCTCCTCCTCCTCCTCCGCCATCCTTCGTTCCTTTCTACGGGGAGACTTTGAGCCGAGTATTTATAAAGAGCCTTGGGCTCTCCCCTCCCCGCGCTGGCCCCCGCGCCAACGTGCATGCAGCCGCGGCCTTGGCAACCGAAGCATTTAAAAGAAACTGTTCGAGTCGTTTATCTGCGCCGCCTTCACAACTCGACTGGACAACTGTCTTACCGGCAGAACCGGTGCCTGTGCTTCCGGGACGGGAAACTCTCGGAGCGTCGCAAGCCTTAGCCTGTCTTGCAGCAGCTTGTCGACTGTTGCTTCGGAACCGGCAACGCTGGCTGCGCCACTTGTACGATGTTTCATGATGAAGGGAGCGGCGGGCCTGCGAGCGTAGGCTTGGTCACGGTCCGGTTGACGGTTAACCGATAAGGCATTTTGCCTTAAAGGTTAACCGAGGTTTTAACCGGTTAACCATAGGTCGAGTACTCAAATGAGTCCTCACTCGATGGTTAAAAATCTCTCCCTACGTGACCGTTGGGAAGGTTTATATAATAATTAATCTAATCTCTATATTATAAATTAATTATATTTAAATTCAGAATATTTTAAAATCTATGTATTTTTTTATAATTTTAAATTTTATTTTTTCCAAAATAAAGATTTTGAAAATCAAATTGAAAATAATAATAAATTTGATAAACATGAGTTAAAATTTTCAGTAACCATTTTTTGTATTATTGAAATATATGAAAGATCCGAAAGAATTAAAAGTGATAAAAGATTCAAACAATTATTGTAAATGTGTATATTACATAGATGTAAAATCTGAACCGTTCAATACTAGTTTAATTATGTATCCAACGTATATAATAAATATTAGAAAGATCTAACGATCCGATTTGATTTTTTTACTTTACAAAGTTTATAAAACCTGAACTAGTGTAAAAATTTGAAATAAAAACAACTAAGTATTAAAGATATGTAAGCAAAGTTATACGAAATGCACATGAAATAAAATTAAGTATTGATTTAAATATTTTCTATATTATAAATCACATCTGAAACCAATGAAGACATATAATCTATATTGTAAATTTTTTTTTTTATTTTTAAAAATAGGTAGATTATTTAAATCTCCTTTCTTATATTTTGATTCAATTTCCATAAAATCTTCATATTTTGACACCATCTAAATTACGAAAAATATATGTGTTGATTATTGAGAAAAAAATGTTCCAATTTGGAAATATATTAACAAATAATAATGAAAAATGATTTTTTTATTAAAAAAACCTATAAATTGTTCTTTAATGAATAGAGAAAACAATCCCAAGAATTGACATACATTAAATGTAAAATTAAAAAAATATTCAAGTACTAAGTGGCAAAAAATGAAACCTTGAAATATTTAATTCATATTTAAGACAGAAAAATGACTTACTTTTTGGAAAAATATATCAAAATCAAAATTGGACGATTTGAGAAGTCTATAAATTATAATAAAACATAAAGAGTTGAAAAAAATTTAGAAACCACAAATTCAAGATGAATAGATAATATTTTCAACCTAATTAAATTTTGTTGCACTCAAAGATAAAAATTGTATATATAAACTATGTCAAAAGTGATTTTTAGCATATAGATAGACCTCAAAAGAGAAAAGAAAAATATTCAACTACTAATTGGCAAAAAATGAAACCTTGAAATATTTAATTCATATTTAAAACAGAAAAATGACTTCTTTTGTGGAAAAATATATCAAAATCAAAATTGGACGATTTGAGAAGTCTATAAATTATAATAAAACATAAAGAGTTGGAAACAATTTAGAAACCACACATTCAAGATGAATAGATAATATTTTCAAACTAATTAAATTTTGATGTACTCAAAGATAAAAATTGTATATATGAACTATGTCAAAAGTGATTTTTAGCATATAGATTGACTTAAGAAGTGGGAAGAAAAATATTCAAATACTATTTGACGTAAAGTGATACCTTGAGGTATATAGGCTTGGCCACTGTCCGGTTAACGGTTAACTGGTCCGGAAAATTTGTGGACCGGTTAACCGGTCCAGGATTTATACGTATAGGTTAACGGTTAACTGATATTTTAACCGGTCCCGATAGTTAACCGATTAACCATCGGTCCGGACCCCTACGTGACCGATGGGGAGGGGCCCTAAAAACCAAAAATTCTCGATGGCGGAGGGAAAGAGGTGGGCCGCGACTCGAGCTGAGTTGTACTAATTCGTGAAAAAATTTTCTCGCGAATTTTTTCACACTGGATCACGAATTGGGTACCTCGTTAATGACAAACCGATGGTTAACCGATTAACCATCGGTCCGGACCCCTACGTGACCGATGGGAAGGGGCCCTAAAAACCAAAAATTCTCGATGGCGGAGGGAAAGAGGTGGGCCGCGACTCAAATGAGCCCACGGCTGGACCTTCAGAGTTCAGCGACTCGAGCTGAGTTGTACCAATTCGTGAAAAAATTATATACCTGTAGGCCAAGCCTACAGGTATATAATTTGTATTTAAAATAGAATAATGAAATTTTCTAGAGAAAAATATATTAAAATTAAAATTGGACGATTTGAGCATAGATAATATTTTCAACCTAAATAAACCTTGATGCACTCAAAGATAAAAATTGTGTATATGAACTATGTTTCAAACACACGTTTCGAGAATAACTACTCGACTGAATAAAAGAAATAAAAGCTAAACTAAATAACTAAACTAAATAAAAGCCGAACATAAGCTCCGATAATAGTTTACTCTCGGAATAAACGGTTCCAGCTTTTCAATTTCATCATCATCTCAATGTTTTCATCAGATAATTTAGATCTATAAGGACGAACAAATCCACCACTCTCCGAAAATGCCGATTCAGACGCCACAGAAGAACCTTGAATCATCAACGTGTCTCTGACCATCAGGGATAACGTCGGAAAACGATTGCTATGCTGTTTCCACCATAGCAATACGTCGGACACACGACGATCCGCTTTCGCCGTGAGCATGAAGAAGTCATCGACCTCGTCAGTGTGTGCACCGTTTTCAATGGCACTGTCTCCTTCTCCAGCAAATAGATCAAATACACCAAAAGTTGGAGATGGCTGCACCTCCGAACACAAGCCGTAATCCATCGTCAAAATGAATCGAAGTTGATCTTTGAGTTCCATCGTTTCAGAGGAAGCATTACTGGATCTAGGATCAAGAAGCAAAGCCATTTTGGAGGCTTGACAATTTAGATTTGCACTATATTTAAGCAACTTGAGCTCCATGGCAGTAGCAGCTTGTTTACCACGTAGAATTCAGCATCAAAGGTACTGCTGAATACTTTAATTATTTTAGGCCTAACAGAATTAACAACAACAAACTGCGCTTCCGTACCTGAAGCCGTGTCTTCACAACCCACAGTGGATTTGTTATCAAACTTGTGGCACAACCTGCACCAGCTGCTGCCAATACATTTCCTACCAGGTGGCAGTTTCTCATGACCAGAGCCTGAGCACATGAACGTGGAGAAACATTGATCGGATACTTTACGTTTTGAAGCATGACAGTAGCTGTGGTGATGGCTATATGCAGAACGTGAAGAATTGTGATGATCTCCGAAATACACGCCACCAACCCGGAAAAAGTATTGTTGTAACTTATTCGTTAATTCAAAACTTACCATCACCTTGGCGCAGAAGTCTCTTCAGCTGCTCATAAACAGTAAAGTATACCTACAGGAATAACTGACAAAAATTAGTACTTATGCTAAACAAAATAAAGTTAGAAAATGTAATTATCTCACGAAACACATGTAGTTGAAACTCTAAAGCGAATGTACAACATGCTGACATTAACCTATGACAATACTACAAGTTTGAAACGAAGCACAGGAACTGCAATAGCTAAATATAGACACAGTCTTCAATCACATGGATGCATTCAACAATGTGGATAACACTTCTCACCTATGGCTGCCAATGCCTGAACCTCAGTCAAAGCTTGTTTCTTGCACATTACAGATGAGATTCGCATCAACTCTGACATCTATGATGTGGACGGACGTACGGACAAACACAGCTCTCAAGAGGGGTACTCCTAGTGACATGATATGCCAATCCGAAAAAATGACGATGGATGTTCTTCATTGAAAGTGTTAATCCTATACATGGTTTAATAAAGATGTAAATCTAACCTTTCACTGTCCTGCCTTAGTTGACGATGTGAACGTTTGACAGCATAGAAACAGCCATCAATGCGATTCACTGTTTGTACACTCGACTGAAGCAGCCCCATCCAATTTCCTGCAACGAACAGTTTTCAGCTGAGTAAATTCGGTGATGCAGAGTATATTGCCCGGTGCTCAACAGAGACTTCATCAGGTTGTACAATCCGGCGGACAATTTACATATCTTTCTCTACGATTTGTAGCTAGCTACAATAACAAACAGCAGATGTATAATGTTATATTCCTTCCATATCCATAAAATCACGGTTTCGACCAGAGTCGTTGGCATTGCTCGCTGCTTGAATAGAGCTGTCTGTAGCCGTGCAATGTTATTGAGTTGAGTTGAACTCACTTGACTTTACTCGCTTCGCTTTCTTATCACTGACGTCTCCCCCTCAACCTTCTCTGGTGCACCTTCCACCTGCGACCATAGGACACTGATGAGATGGATGGAATGGAATGTCGAGTACACTTTCCTTTCAACAAGAGCAGCACCGAAAACCGTGTGAGCACTTGAATGAGGTGCTCTACTAACTTCCGCTACAGCTTCTTATGCAAATGCGGTGCTCTCAATTTATGAACCGTCTCACGCAAACATCTGAAAACATGGCACGACGATGAAGCACAATCTTTCCTCCCCGATCACGAATTCATTACTCGGAACGAAGGTGCAGCGGGCGTGAGCATAATCTAAACGATGCTCTCAAGGGCAGCATTGCTCGCTGCTTCGATCCATTATATACTAGATCTCAAAGACTAAACGGTCGAATTCAACGGGTCTGAAAGACTGAACGGGTAGAACGTTCAAG